AAATTAAGTTCCTTAGCCAATGTACAATAATTTGATCACTTAATTTGGCTAAACAATTATAATGACCAAATGTATTAATTACACATATTTAATCCAAAATAGATCTAACAAAATGTGCATAAGTTCGTAGTCTCGTTTTGTTGTTTCGGGTCGTCGTTAGGTTGTTCGGGTCATTCGAACCCCAGCGTCCTTTTTGTTTTTATATTTGATTATTCCGTTTTCGAGCCAAAATTGTTGTTAAAAATATATTTCGGAACTTTGAAAATATGTTATTTTGACAAACCTTTCGAGTCCCGTTGCCGTTTGTTATGTCATCGTCGTTTTTGGTCGAATAAATGCCCAGCCTGTTAGCAGATTGCAGCCTCTGTTCGTTTTCTTCTGTTCAGATAGCAGGTTTGTATTTATATTCATTAATATATGTTTTCAATTATAACCGCATCAGAGTCTGTAGCGTGGTGGTAATGGCGCGCGTCTTTCGTGCGGGACGTCGCGAGTTCGATTCCCTCTTCGCGCGCCAGCTTTTGTTTTTTTTTATATACCCCAGACCCAGCAGTGCGGGCTTCTTGGCCCGCATTAGGCCCGCGCGCGGCCCGCCTTTGTGTCAGCAGAGGAGGCCCGCTAGCCCGCGTCTCGGCCCAGTCTCCTTAGCTGCGGCCCAAATCCGCATAAGGCCCAACTGTTTGGCCATCTTTGGGCCAGCTTGTTAGCAGTCCGACCCAATTGCCCTTTTTAACCTATTTTGACTTCCAGAAGTCCGTTTTTTTCGTACCGATTTCAATTTTAAAAATATTTTCAAAATGATAAAATTTTGGGAAAAATTATTTTAAGTCCCGAGACCCCAATTTAGTTCTCCGAGTCATATTTTTTCAAAATTAGAGAGTTCCAAGTCCACGAAAAATCCGATTAAAACCATTAAGACTTAATTTTTATTAAGTGTGGGTTTTATGTTCAATTTAAGAGGTGAGATAAATTATTGATAAAATATCTCGCTTAAATGTAGGTGTTTGAGGAGTCGAGCCTCATCCTACGTATTTGCCCTTGTGTGCAATTTCTACCGAGCTAACCAGGTGGGTTTTAATCTAAAATTTGCTATGTTATAATTGAGGTAAATTTTTTTTTTATACTAAGTGTCTATGAATGTATGTGTGTCATGAGACGGTGCCTAGTGGTGGGCGATCTCCAACCTTGTGATAGGTAGACTCATTTTAGCCTAGTCGATGGGCCGTGACCGTTGATGTTGAACCTCGGCACGACTGTACTCCCGCTGACGAGTTTGGGCTTACCCCTGGCGGCTTATTATAGGTGTGCACATGAGTATAGTGATGAGTAGGAGAGTGGTGTGTTATGTCTTTTGACCATGTACTTGCATATGACTCTAGTATAGGATTCCTACCAATATATTATGCATAGTGGTGAGCACCTCGTTTATATTTGTGCTCATCCCCACCTGCTCTTCACGGATGCAGGTTAAGCACGTGTTGGGCATGACGAGGCTGAAGACGAGTGGATGGTCAAACATTATTGTTGCTTTATATTGCTTCCACATGCTTTGATATTTATGTTGAGATTATCAGACTTTGTTATTTTCCCTATTGCTTTGGGGATTGATTGAACTGTTGAACCATGTGGATTATTTTTATCAGTTTGGATTATGTTGACAATCCTATTGCTAGATATGTTGAAATCTAGTCCTGGAACTTGAATTATGCTGAATATTCTCATTTCCTTTATGCTGATTATGTGTTTGACTTTGAAAAGTTCTTGAGTAGCGCCAATTGTTTTATAAATCGATAAATGATTTTCGAAATTTTAAAACGAGATTTTTGGATAAGTCCGGAATTATCTTTAAAAATCTTTGGGGCATTACATTTCTACTAGCGAAGGAACTTTCGTCGGAACCTGATTTCAAGAAGGTGGATACGTTTAGAGGGAAGACACGTGGATTCCTAAGCGAGTAGCCACAAGCTCAAGATGTGAAGTGACGCTACCAATTCAGAAATCGTTTTCCTCAATCCATCTCGAATTTTGAAGGAGTTCAAGATCAACGATAAATATTGTATTTACTATCAAACAAATCAAAATTTGTATTATTACATGTTTTTAAAGATGACGACCTGTTAATTCGCCATATGTATGTACGAGTTATGTATTTAATGGTTAAATACATATTTTGAAAAATTTTAAATTCCGCTGCGTATAGCTCGTACGGTACAGGCGATCCCAACAGTGGTATCAGAGCCACGGTTATCATCTTTAAAAACAGATTTTGATTTGTTAATGTTTATATGATAAATAAGATAATTAAATGTTTATGTGATAAACATATTAATTATTAAAAAAAAATAAAATTTTTTTTAGGTGTCCAGAGCTGACACGGGCAGTGACACGGGCAGCCAGCCCGTGTCAGAGGCCGTGTCAGGTGACACGGGCTGTGACACGGGCTGGCTGCCCGTGTCAGAGGCCGTGTCAGGTGGAGTTGAAAATTTGATTTTCAATGTTGCTCTCGGCATTTTGACACGACCTCTGACACGGAGGCCGTGTCAGAGGAGAAAAATGAGCCTTTTATGTTTTTAATTCATATGATGAATAGTTTAACTTAGGGATGATCATGAGCCTTTTATTCAACATGATTGAATGTTGCATTTTTCAATATGATTGAATGTTTGAATGGTTTATTCAATATGGATGGATGATTGCATTATGTTCAATGAGATTGAATGTTGTACTTTTATTCAATATAATTGAATTAATGTAATTTATCGAGACCTGCGAGTCTCTTTAGTTATGATTTGTAAAATTTTAATTTTTGTATCGTTAGAGATAAGATCTAGGTTGGAGAACCGTTCGATGCAAAAGGCCCATACTCATATGGGTAATTTTACAAGTTATAAAGACTCAAAGGCCTGTGCTTGTACGGGTAGATAAAATGAAGATGTAATAGAAGTAGTTCTATTTATTCGTTTTATCACGTACATAGGCATAGACCCATTTTGGCTCGAATAGGTCGTATAGGCAAGGACATGATCATCTCACCACCGTATGCATGCATTAGATGTATGTTAGGTTTATTTATGTTTTCGATTCATGCGATGGATGAAATGGTAAATAAACGTAAAGATGGTAAACGAAGAGATCACGAAACCCTAAAGAATTAATAAGATTAATTCATATCATATCAATAATGGATAAAAATAAGCTGGAACTTATTAATCCAGGCCTTCCATCAAAAAGTAGACGACATGAGATGCTACGATGCTTTATCACCGACCATGAGTCGTGGGGTGGTTTTGTGTCAAAAGTTGTGATCCCTACTGCGTATATTGATACTTGTGAGACGGATTCCTCTTTGTGAGACGGATTCCTCTTTGTGTCAAAAGTTTTGATGGGTTTGATTTGACACCGAGTAATATATATGGTCATAAAATTGAGGTATATAAGGAAAGGTGAGGCAAAACATCTTGAAGGTTGTATAGAGATACAATTGTCAAAAAGTTGACTACCGATAAAATTGTTTCATGAGTACTCATAAAATTGGGATATGAAATAATTTTATTGGACTTCAAGCCCACTATGAAAATTAGATTTTCATAATTAAAATGGGGTTTTTATTAAATTAGTGGGAGACATTTAATATTTAAAGACCT